GGATGCCTGAACACCCAGGGAATGTCGCTGGGCGTTCGCACGCTCTGTGTCAGAGGGCAGAAACAGCTGCCTGCTCCCCGCACGGCCGCTCAGACGGGACCCCTCGCTTCGTAGGGAACACCATTACCGCAGCACAGCAGCAAACCAGCTTTTGCCAGGTTTCTTAAGGCCAAAAGACCCCACTTTACAAGCTGCAGCAACACACACCTGTGCTGGTTTTGGCAGCAGAAATGTGAAAGCCCTCGGAGAGGCACTTCCCACCACGTATCCTCCCTTCTGCAACTCTCTCCCTGACAGCACCGTGATGGGCTCGTATCTCATCCCCAGCTACGCCTGCTATGGCTCCTCCAGCCTGAAACCCCGGAGGCCCAGCAGCAGCATTTTGCACCACACCAACGAGCCGCCTGGGTGGGAACAGCCCCTCACCGCAGGCAAGAGGTGCAGAAGGAGTTTCCCACCTCACCTTCTCCACAGAGGAGTCCCGAAGAGCTCTTAGAAGAGGTGACGAGGAGCAGCAGCATCCCCACGGTCAGAAAGCCTCAGCACCAGACCGCCTTGCAGAAGGATGGCCACGCTAAGAGAGCACAATGGGCGCGTCGGTGCCCCGGACCTGCACCGACTGCATCTTACCTGGGGTTTTGTCCAGCTCCTGTAGCATGGTATAAATACAGTGGTCGAAGAAGAGCTCCAGCACGCTAGACGACCTCGCCAGCAGGGATCTGATGATGTTCTTCAGCTCCTTGCTCACCAGGCAGTACGGATAGTCTGGAGCCAACAGAGGAGGAGGAAGAGTTTAGTGAGCACCAGTTTGCAAGACTTTCAGCTGCAGCTGCAAGGAGAAGCTGGCCCAGCGCGCGAGGCGCTCGCAGAGAAGCGCCTTGTCCTCATACACCACAGGGTCAACAAGCGACTTCTTTCTTAGTTATTCTACGTTAGACGCATCTAATTCGGCAAGAAAGGATTGCTTTCTGTCAAATGTTGGTGCTGCAGGATATACACAGGTTTTGAGAGGAGATTCTGCTCTTTGACCCATTGTCACCCAGCAACAAGTGCTCAAAGCAAGTGTAGACCAACACATCAGGCACGAAAGGGAAATCCAGCCGGAATATCCCTTTAAAGCTGAGTGCGGATACCTGCGAGCAGATTCCTGAATCCCACAATAGTAGGAACAGGTCACGGGTCCTTATGGAGAAGGGGCAACCAGGGAAAGTCTCTAATTTGCCAACTGGATACACAATTTCATTGTCTTTGTAGTCAAGGGAAGTCAGTTGTAGTGATATCACAGAATCGAGCAAATAATCCCCATGTTATTTGTTGAATAAAGAACACAGTCTTGTGCCTTTTTGCACTACCAAGTTTCCTAAGACGGTTTTGGCACAGAAAAAAACCTGTTTGGGGGGGGGGGGGGGAGAGAAGAAAAAACACAATGGGGGGGGGGGGGGAAGTAAAGAAAAGCCCAAACATCTCAGTTGACAGGGAACAAGCCCGGACTGTGAGACAGGCTGGACCCCATTCGCCTCAGGTGAAAACGAGAGACTTTTTCCGTTCCCATCTGTGACTGTTTTGGTCCTGTCCGCTCCCACGTTCCTGAAAACTGCCTCTTTAGCGAGCTGCCCTTTAACCTGTACTCTTAAGAAACCTGTACAAAATGAACCTGGCACGGATGGAGCCAAAGGGATTTATGTGGCACTGAACCCCTTCGAGTCTTCCTGCTGGGACCAAGACTGTTGGACCCGGTGACCTTAAGGCTCTTTTCCAACCCAAATGATTCTCTAAGGTTGGCGGGGGTGGAGCGGTCAGAGGCTGCTTCTTCCCGGCTGCGTCCCGAGCCGCTCCCTGTGCCCGGCTGCCCCCTCACCCCGCGGGTTTAAGGGCCACGCTGAGCTGGCCCA